CATGCAAAGTAGAGCTGGGAGTGACGTGATTTGATAATCCCTCTATAGCTGCATTAAATAGAGAATTTCTAAATTATGATTTGGCAGTATTGTGGATATATTAAAATAAAAGGATAGTGTATTACTAGGTAGCACATGTTTGGTGTAGTGGCTACTCCATTGGTGGGCTATTTGCTACTGCAGCAAAAGAAATCTCCTGCAGCCCAGAGGGCATTTTTCCCATATGGTCCCAAAGTAAACACAAACTGTTCCAAATCCTTCAGTTGTCTTAAAAACAGCTTTTGAATCGATAGCTTGGTCTTGCTCTGCTGCACTCTGGCTACTCTGTCTCTGATTGGTCAGAACGGTCATGTGGTACGTGTGGCCGATCTCCTCGCATATGCTCACGGGGGAGAAGAGCACTACTGCACATGGAGAGTGGTCAGGACAGCCACTGGAGGTACTTAGTCGCCAAAGCTAATCTCACTCAACACAGCAGTGAGCTCGGCCCATTCACTTAAAAGGCTGGCCTTTTAAGCCCCCAGGACTTGTCTGATATCAGCAAAATTGCCTCTGTGTTAAAAAGGATGAGATTACATTTTGATTTTTTATCACCGTATCACCCAGGCCTACGTTGGTTTACTTTTGTTTACATTAGAAACTAGGACTAATATGGAGTATTTTTCACATATTAAGTGTTATTAATTTGGTAAAATCTAGTGATGTTAATTTTAAAATTATACAATTTTAGTACAGTAGCAACACAAATTAATTTCTTAAGTTTTCTTATGAATTTGGGGTATTTATTGTTATTTGATTTGACTGGTTTTCTTGTTTTAGAACTGGCATGACCAAATTTTTGCAATTTACCTTTTTGTTGTCTTCATTTTATGATCTCTGTGCAGCACTTTGTAAATTGCTTTGTTTGTAAAATGTGCTATAGAAATAAAGTGGATTTGGATTTATTTGCTCAAAGCTGAAGCTTGATCTCAAAACCTTTTACCATGAAGAATCTCTACTGAACAAAAGGTAAAAGGAAGCTGTTAACTTGAAAACTACAGCTTGATGACATGACAAGGTGGAACAGAGCATTTTGAGCTTTGGAGATGTAGACAGACTAATAATAAAGGGTTACTCAAACATGTGAATGAAACAAAACACAACTCCAGGTTTGTTTTGATGAGGTAACTGCATTATAACATGGCTTAAAGCTCATAAGAGTCAATTTTGCGTAATGTAGGATCTGTAGGAGTGCTTCTTCCACCACTGTCTACAGAAGTTCAGTTAGACACGTAGACTACATCACTCTGTATGTGTCACGTTTAAGAGTTTCTGAAGACCCAAAATGGCTGCCGATGGCGTGGGGCTGGCATGCCTGGACACAGAGGCTCAGGTGAAACTGTAGATTATCAGATTCCTGGTGTGTGTGGACCAGCTGTGCTCTGTGCGGCTGTTTAGACACAGGCTGTGGTTTGAGAAGTGCTTATGTGGCAACCCAGACAGCACCATTACTCCTGCTGTGTACTCTGTGTGTACTTTTAAAGGGATAGTGCAGTGTTATACTTCACTTTGCAGTTCACTGTGCAGTTTGTGGGACAGTCAGGAGCTATGGTATGTGGGTTTTGTTGGCGAGTTTAGGAATTATTTTAGTGCTAATTTAGGTTTAGTTGAATTCTAGTTTAAAAGTGCATTTGTGTAATTTTTCTGGTGAAGGGTCCACCAAATGCTTTTCTTCATGGAAATGTGATTGCTTTGTCTGGAATGTTTCACATTATGGAATTAAACCTTTCTATCTTTATGGAGACCAAACCAGACCAAGTTACAATTCAGATCTGTGGAGAGATGACCCCGCTCACAATCAGAATGACTGTTTTTCTTGTTTTTTTGAACTATAAAACCACCTGTAAATTAATAAATGTGTTTAATGTCACACTGTGGAACATTGACGGCACAGAAGTGACATATCCATATAAACAAATAGGTGACAAAACCCCAAACCGAAAAGGTGTAATATTTGGGACATTAGTTCATCTCCGAGTTAAGACCTGCTTAATCTTTATTTAACAGTGTTTTTTTACTGTCTTAAAAATGTGAAAAACAGAACTGGTTCAGTTTAAAGGTTCTGTATTTTGCAAAATGGACTTTTATGAATTTAAAATCATGTTAAAACATTGTTACCTTACCAACGTCTCCATCTCCAAAGCTCTAAATGCTGTTCCACCTTGTGTTGTTATGAAGTGGTAGTTTTCAAGTTAACATCTACAGTTAAGTTCAGTTTAGTTTAGGTGACAATTCCACCACTGAAATCATCCAAATGATTCCAGTGAAGGTGTATGGAGCTCTTCCTGTATTACTAGGGCCGGGTATCATTAAGTATTTGCAGATATGATACATACCTCTATACATAGGCCACGATACGATACATTTCTCGATACAGTGCACTTTCTGTTCAATACAATATATTTCAAATCAATTCGATACGGTTTAATAAAAATAAAGGCTAAATCATGGCTGTGATACTAAAAGTATTTGTTAAACCAATCTCTGTGCAAAGTGAATATGAAACACAGATATTTTAATCACCAAAACAGTGAAAATATCAAATGTGTTGCATAAATGAGTTTCCTTCCATTAAACCAGCAACAAAACTGTAGCAGTAACAAAATAATTTTGTAAAATATACCAAAAAAAAAAAAATACTCTTGCCGATATCAATACTGTATCACCACATTAAACGATAAGATATAATGATATTTAGATATTTTTGTACACTCCTATGTATTACCATATGACATCACAAGGTGGAACAGAGTGTTTTCTCTTTGAGAGAAGAACTCGATCTAAATCCGCAGAGTTTGTGTGTTAAACATGTGTGAGTGAAAAAAAAAACACAACTCTGAGTATGTTTTTGATGAGGAAACAACATTCTAACATAGATCAGAAAATGATTCCCCATTTTCCTGACACATTTCTAGCATCTAAATTATTCACAATGGGTTTATAAGCATCACAACTTTCAGAAATCAGGGCAGAGTTTTGCTGTCAACAACGACTAGGATGTTAACAGCACTATTTCCTGGTTGTCAGAGGATGAGACGCTTTATGATACGATACAAGCTGCACACTCTGGTCTCATTTTGATGTATCTGTAATACGGCAAGACACATTGTACTTCATTACAAGTAAAAAAATCTAATACAGCCCCTTAGGCCTTTTGTTCAACTACAACATATTAGAATATTTGTTTTTATTTCACTAGCTTACTTTGGATCAGTTTTATTTATAGAAATCAAGGAGAGTGCACAGATAACATTTATCTCTGAGAAAAGATGCTCCACAGATAGAAATATAAGCCAGTTTATCCATCTGTTTACATCTCGCACAGGTGCACACGGGACCAGGACACGGCGCTAGCTCTTTGGTATTAAAATAACATTAGCTACTCATGGGTTTCAGCTTCCTGTTTACAAGTGACATTTGGAAGACTTTTGATAAGAGATAGATAAAAACAGGTTCGTTTTGAATGGCAACAGGGCTTTTTTCATCACTCTGAACAGACAGTAAACAATGTATGTATAGTGACAAGCTAGCTAGCAAGACTGATATTATAGCGCTAATAGGATTAGCTGTAATATCAATCTAACATGGCTCCTGATAAAAGTGTTCTGGAAGTGGAGCGACTGTCAGCGGAGTTTTAGCCAAATATATTTTTTTATTCTGCAAAATATACTTTTCAAAGCTTTGATTCTTTTCACTATTTACTCCAGAAGCTGCGTTAGTGGATCTAACGTGAGTAATCTTTGACCACTTATTTTGAAAACACCATTTTGCAGATCAATACCAGTTTTCACCACCGGTACATGCCCACTGCTCTGTACTTACTTCATTCCCCAATTTTATTTTCTGTGTTCAAAGATATGTGTAGGATTCAGCAGCACTGCATATTCATTTTGGTACAAATGAAAAAAATACCAAAAACATGTTAATATGTTGTCAGTGAAGCATTTTCAAAACAATAAAAGGTAACATGGTGATCTAAATAAGTTAAGTGTTGCAGTTAATACTCTATGTATCCATTTTCTTCCACTTTTTCCAGTGCAGTCTGAGCAGGGAGGCCCGCTCTTCCCTCTCCACACACTCTTCCTCCCGCTCTTCCGGGGGATCCCGAGGCGTTCCCAGCCCAGCCCAGAGACATAGTCCCTCTAGTGTGTCCTGCGTCTTCCCCGGGGCCTCCTCCTGTGGGACATGAATACCTCCCCAGGAAGGCATCCAGGAGTCCATCCGAAACAGAGGCACTTCCCTCAGCTGCTTGACGTGGAGGAGAATCGTTTATACTCTTAGTTCCTCCCGTGTGACCGAGTTCCTCACCCTCTCTAAGTCTCTAAGTTAGTGAACAGCCACTCTGCAGAGGAAACTCATTTCGAGTGCTTGTATCCATGATCTTGTCCTTTCCTTAAAAGGTGTTTTGTGTTTCTGATTGAGGATCTGTCAAAGGCTTTTCTCTTTAGAGATGTTATCGTGTTGTCTAGGATATTTCACAGTATGATATTAAACTTTTCTATTTTCAGACCAAGTTACAGGTCAGCTCTGTGGAGAGATGACCCTACTCACAGTCAGAATGTCTGTTCTAGGTATTTTTGAACTATAAAACCACTTGTAATTGAATAAATGTAAGGTAGAGCTTTTTAATGTCACACTGTGGAACATTCCAGGCAGAGCAATGTCATCTCCATAGAAACAAGCAGGTGACAGCCCCCTAAGCAAAAAGTGTTGCATCATACCTTCAGCCTCGCACCTCACCCCTCCCCTGCCGTGTAACCTGTTAGCAATTATTACACTCCTGGCATGTTTTTGTTGAAGCCCCTAGAATTTCTTCTCTGCACCAGAGGTAGTTTCAACTCAGACAGATCAGCAGAAGTGAGTTTGTGAGCTCCAATGTGCAAAAAAGGTCCAATTAGCAACTAGAATCATAAAATAAAATTGGGGCAGTTTAATATTTTTTTTTTTACTTTAAAGGTTTTTTACTGTTTTGCCTTGTTTATCCCACAGCATGAAAATAAACTTGGTAATCACATTGGAGACAGGTCAATGGTCAGATCGATAGAGAAGCGAGCCTGCACACGGTAAGAATTTGTTTTTGTTTTTTGTTTTTTTGGGCTTTAAAACATCTGTAATTGAACAAATGCAAGAAAGATGTTTAATGCCCCTTTTTTAAACTTCAAATGACTTGTAGACTCTTTTTATAAGCCTAAAAAACTAAGTCATGCATTAAACTCCAGGACTTTCCACGTCTCCATGTACCACCACCTCCCACATCCTTTTCTGCCCGTAATTACCCTCCCCTCTGATTGGCTGACATTTGGGAACTCCTCAGCCTATCAGGTGCGCCGGCAGAGGTGGCCCCGGACCCCCACAGGTGAGCCGGTTGTGTACTTTTGTGTGCATGCGTTTCATGGATGTATGTTACGTGTGCGCTTTGTGTGGCCCCCAGTTTAAAACCATGGCCCCATCCCACCGTGAGGGCAGTCTGTCAGGAGGGCCACGACACGACAAGACAGGAGCCGGGAGACTTCAGCCACACAGACTGGAGAAGAGGACAGCGGACCAGTGACCCAAACAGGTAAGAAGTATATGAAGTATTCAGAAAAGTACTATTCAAATGCATGAGTAGAGGTGTGACAAATTTCAAATTTCAAACTCCATTTTGATAGTAGGGGATGGTAAAGTAGCCAAAAATTGTACTGAAGTAAGAGTAACGTTACTTCAAAGTTATGTTGCTCAAGTAGAAGTATAAAGCAGTGGTTCAACAAATTAAAAAAGTATTTGTGAAAACGACTACTCAAGTAAGCGTAACTAAAAGAATAAGTAAAGTTAATATAATTGGAAGGATAAAACTTTAATAATTTGCAAAATCTGGTATTTTCAAAGGACAGACACAAAAATGAGACAAACTAAATCATATCTGAACGAAGAAATGCAAATATTCAAATAATTTCATATTGTCAACATAAAGCTTAGAAGTAAGTAAGAGTACTGTTCTTCTTCCTTACTCAAGTAGGTATAAAAGGAGTAAAAATTATGACAAAAATGAAACAAACTAAATCATATCTAAAGGAAGAAACACAAATATTTAAATAATTTCATATTGTCAAACATAGAGCTTAGAAGTAAGAAAGAGTACTGTTCTACTTCCTTACTCAAGTAGGAATAAAAAGTTACTTAAGTAAATTTAACTACCCACCTCTGTAAGCAATAGGCTCAACACTAAATACTGATTCCTCTTCCATGATGATAATTAAAAACAACAACTACTTACTATTTCTTTACCCAATAGAATGTGATTTTCAACATGAAATTAAATAGTACTAGTAGTAGTAGTAGTATAAAATAGTAATTAAATAGTACTTTCTTTTATATTACCAGGAATCAATACCTGCTCAAATGAATATCTAGTTTCCATTCTAGATTTGGTATCGATTAGTATCCGATTTTCGATACTTTTAACAACCTTAAATATACCATATCAAAAAGTTATTATTGAACTAGATAAACCTGCAAGCATGTTTTGTTGCAGCAGTAAAACACAAGTCAACTACATAGACCATGATGCTTTGCTTTTTTTCCCACGATGAACAAAAGTATTAATAACATTGACTGCACAAAAAGCTAATTAAAGACATTTCTGCAGGGACTGTACAAACTTCCCAGGTTCATCCACTTAATAATAAATTGGACTGGGATTTGGATCTCATTATATCTCGGGAACTTTGCAAATGTGAATTAATTTTAGTCGGTGTATTGTACGACATGGAAGACCTTCTTGAAGAAATTGCCAGTGTAAGATCTCTGCAATTAAAATGTACAGTTTTATATGAATGCGGTATGACTGAAATATTAAATAGCTATTTCCTGTTCTCAAAGTCAATTGTAAAACATGACACATTTGTAACATAATAGAATGAGAAGTCGCGTAAGGGGAAGGGTAGCTTTCAAACTGTATTTTCTATCTACAAGAAGGAATAGGAAAGATAATATTAAATCGTGTTTTGATGTGAGACTGTGGAAGGAGAAGTTACATTAATAGAACTGTTGCAAGAAACACAAATGCACAGTGTGAAGAATATGTGATTTTCAAGATTAAATTGTAGTACTTTCCTTTATATTACCACATGGCCTTATATGTGTAATCCCTTTGCCCTCTGAATGTGATTTTTTGCAGTATCGATACTTGCTCAAATGACTATCTAGTTTTGATATTAACTTAGTATTGCTTAGTATTGTATCATAAGTACATTTTCGATTCTTGTGACAAACTCATGTGGTAGTAAGTAATCTAAGTAATATCTAACTTATTTATTAAAGGGTTATGATTTCTAATATGTTCTGATCTATGTTATAATGTTGTTTCCTTATCGAGTTTAGGCTGAGTTCTTCTCTCAAACAGAAAACTCTCTTCTATCTTGTGATGTCGTGTGGTAATACAGGAAGTGCTCCACTGTGTTTACAAACTCCAGACACCTTCCAATCTTTACTGACTAAAAGGGAAAAGGTAGATGTTAACTTGAAGACTGCCACTACGTGACATCACAAGGTGAAACAGAGCATTTTGAGCTAGACGGACTAATAATGCAGGATTACTCAAACGTGAATGAAACAAAACAGAAATCTGAGTATTTTTTTGATGAGGTAACAACATTTTAACATGACTTAAAGCAGAGGTGGGACCAAATCGTTGTTTTGCAAGTCTCAAGTAAGTCTCAAGTACGTCTCAAGTCAAGTCCCAAGTCAAATATAAACAAGCCCTAGTCGAGTCTCGAGTCACTGGCTCATTAGTCCAAGACAAGTCCAAGTCGTCTGCTTTGAGCTTCAAATCATTTCAAGTCTTTAAACCAAAATACCAAATATAGCTTTGATTTTTGCAATTTATATGACTTTTAAGATAAACTGTACTTAAAGAAATAAATATAAAATCATAGTATTTATATATGAGTTGTAGAAATGTAAATTTTTCCTTTTTAAATGTCTTGACAAGATCTTAGTGTGAATCATTACAGTCAGAACAGAAAGAATTCAGATTTAAAAGTGTTTCTGAAGTCTTCTCAAGTCACAGACCTCAAGTCCGAATCAAGTCCCAAGTCACTGACCTTCAAGTCTAAGTCGAGTCCCAAGTCTTTGTCCATTTTATCAAGTCAAGTCTCAAGTCCTAAAAATAGTAACTCAAGTCTGACTCGAGTCCAAGCCTCGACTTGCAAGTCCCCACCTCTGGCTTAAAGCTACAAGAAAGCGTAAATTTTGTGTCATTAAAGACCTTTAAAAATACAGTTAAACTAAGAGGAAGTAAATAAACAATTGCATGTACTGTAAAACAGTCAAAGTGCTGAGTGTTGACATTTGGGAACCTGTGTGGAGGGACTTACCCAGCCTCAAGTTCAGTCTTCAAAAGTCAAGTTTGGTGAGTGACACCTGGTCCGTTCATCCTAATGACAAAGCAGAAGGTTAGTTACAGCTCCAGTATGTTCTCACCGACGCATTTCAACCTCCAACTGAAAAACAAACAACTGGTCACATCTAAAGTGCAGATACAGCAGATTGTGGCATTCTTGAACCTTTTAATGGTGTAATTTAGACAGTTGCATGGAGAGTAGTTATTGTAGTTAAAAGTGTATTACGTAACTTTTCATGTGAGGGATCCGCCAGCTGCTTGTCAAAGAAATAACATCTCCATGGAGTCAAGCAGGTGGCACACCCTACCCCAGAAACGTTATTTGTAAATACTGTAACTTGAAAATGGTGATATTTAAGTACAAGTACAAAGTAACAATCCATCCCCAAAAAATGACTAGTAAGTAATAATTGCAAATACTTAGCAATTGTTTTGATAAAAATTCAGATAAATGTTAAAGTACTGTAAATAAATAAACACAGAAATACAGAAATAATAATTAAGTAATGTAAGTAATGTGAATAAATAATGTAAATAATTCATAAATTCTGTTTTTGGATTATAAAAAGTATAAAAAAGGCAGGTGCAGAAAAATATATATAATAAAAAATCTTCCAGTGTTCTCGTATCAACTACGATTTTATAGTTGCACACCAAGTAGTACTCAAAAATGTAAAAAAATAATAAGTGAAGTAAGAAGTATGGTATGATAAGAAGTAAGAAGTATGGTATGATAAAAGCACCCTCACATGACTCACCTCCATCCACAGGTCTTTAAAAGAAAACCAACAGTGACCATGCCAAACAACCCCAAAGTCCAGTGTTTTCATTGTAATGGTAGAAAAGTTGAATTGAAAATCCACCCTACAAGTAAAAACCTCTTTAAAACTCAAACTCTGGCCTTCTCTCTAATGTAAATGCTATTCAGTTGTCTATGCAGGGAGCACTAGGTGTGGACAGGCTGTGTTGAATGATGGATGGAGGTGTTTTTAGAGTCCATACGTTAACCCCTGTATGTTTTATTGAACAGGTGAAGAAGAGCGGCGGACATGGCGGGGAGACACGGTTTTTGCGGGGTGGTCCTGATTGCTCTGCTGGTGGCCATTTTGCTGCCTGGTAAGTGCACAGAACTCCAGGATCATGATGGATGTAACTTAATGTACTTTCCACTTTAATATGACTTTTAATAAAAGTCATGCTTAAGCTTTATATATATATATATATATATATATTTAAATAGTTACTTTGTGGCCATTTTGCACCTTAAAAACTTAAAATCTAAATTGACGACAACATTTTTACATTTTCCAACCATATCTCTGTTCATAGACAAATGGTAAACTAGAAAATGATTTGTCTCCTTCTATCTTTCTATGGCTTACTTACATGGTCAAAGCAGTTACCTAACTATCTAAAACAAACTATGATAAACTGCTTAGTAAATTTGAAATGTTTTGTTGTTTTACTCATAATAATGCGTGGTAAACATCTGCTTAAACTTTACTGAAGTGATATTTTGGGAATATTTTTTGTGTTTTGTTGCAATTCTTTGTTATACATGTAGTGCATTATTCCTTCACTCCACACTTGGTGGTGGTAATATACTGTAGAAGCCACAGCTGTCCTGGGGCAGACTGATGGAAGTGATGCTGCGAATCTCTCATCGGCCCCTCCGACCACCACAAACACGCACATATTTATACAAAACAATTTGGGTGAAATGTCTTGTCTAAGGACACAAAAGTTTTTTGGCATTGTGACATCTGGTATTCCCAGTGGCCTTACAATCCAAGTCCTGATCAGGCCCAGGACAGTTTAGCCCCTGAAATCCGATGAGATCAGACTTTGATAATGCATGATAATTCACCAGTGCTACTTCCTGGTTTGTGACTGAAACAAACACTTTATAATTAGATGCAAACAGCACATAGCAGTTAGTTAGTTTATTTATTTATTTAATGAGACAGGGACAGTGCACAATAGCCATCTCATTTTGACCCTAAGAACTACTTTTACAATATATCTGTACTGAAACAGATCCATTTTTACTATATGAAAAAAAAAGTTCTTAATTATTTTGTATCTTAAACAAAAAACTTTTAATTTATTTGACTTTTATGATTACAATTTGATTTTATGCTAACAACTGCTAATATTGCTTCTACTTTTGTTACTACTATATTCTCTCCTCCTCCTCCTCCACCAATACTGCTAAGACTACTACATACAGTAGCACATAATTATGTCTTGAAGTAACCAGCCCAATTAAAATACATATAATGACATAATTGTTAACCATGTCCCAGTTTTTGTGTAATCTCCCATTATAATTCATCCTTTTTTAGATGCTGCTTTAGATCATTTCAACACTGCCTAATCACGTTCTAATTTAAGATCTTCGTGATAATCCTTCATCATAGTTGGACATATTGCATCATTGGCTCCATTTATCCTTACTTTTATCATTGCGTCACTATTCGTAACTCATTATGGCAGTAAGCGAAGGCAGATGGTATGCACATATGCATGTAAATGTACAGTGCATTTTAATTATACCGTATACAACAACTTACTCAGACATTTAAATACTTTTACTTTTCAAGATCAGTGTTTTTTTTGTCATGTTTTGCCAAGCGTCTTTGCACAGATTTAATTGCCTCATTACTTGAATTTGAATGAAAGTGCGTGTGACAGGTTAGACTACACATTTCACTCAAACACACTTAACATCATTATATTTCATAATAATAAAGTCATATTTTACCTCCTGGTTGGACATTGGGCAGCAGATATGACATACGTCAAGATAATTCCATAATTATAACGTTAGCCAGGGCCGAACTCAATTGATACTTTGCAGTGACAGCACACAGGGAGTGTTCTACATGTATTTCTATGGTGGAATGTACAGGTTTTACCATGGTAACACAATCCACACATTAACAAACACTGTCCAAAAAATACAAAATGCAAAATACAAAATTTAAACAACACATTTCCAGGAACCTGTTTAGGAGTTAGAATGTTTAGAATGTAGATCTATAATTAAAAAAATGCATAAGCCCCTCCCCCTCTGTCCAGGGGTGAGACCGACTAGTGGTCGCTCCAGGCACTGCAGCTCCTGGCAGCTTGAGCCCAGAAAGAATTCTTCCACAGAGTGCGATGCATTTTTGAGGAAATTTAAACATCACCAACTCTCTCAAAGGTGTATTTTGTAGGGATGTAGGGATGAACTTTTTCCATTTTTTGAAATCCTCAAAGTGCCTAAAAGTTAACTTTGTAAGACTTTGTAAGACTTGTAAGCCGTGCCCTGCTCAGAGCTCGTGCTAACTCCAGTCCACTAGCAGTTATTCCTCTGATTAGTCAAAACAGACCAATGCGTGCACATTATAGGTGGGAGCATAGAATGATAATAAAATGTGGAAGGTGAACCCAAGATGGCATCATACTGTTTTCAATGGCCTGTGCTCATTGGTGCATGGGCCCAAAAAAATGTTTTCACTTCCAGATTTACTTCCTCAGTACCTGTTAGCTCGTGCATGGCATTGAGTGTTTGGACCAATCAGAGCGAGAACTGCTAGAGTGGAGCTAGCACTGGCTCAGAGTGGGGCTAGGCTAAGTCTTACAAAGATCACTTTTAGATACTTTGAGGTTTTAAAAACTTTAAAAACTTTAAAAATTTTATGTTGTTAAAATAGAAAAGAATCCCTACAAAATCCGACCTTTGTGAAAGCTGGATGCCCTGTCAGCCAAACACGGGCGGTTTGAATTGCCAAAAAATACAATGCACTTTGTGGGAATATTCTTTCTGGACCTAAACTCCCAGCAGCTGCAGTACCTGGAGTGGCCACTATTTGGTCTGGAGCCAGGACGGGGTTATGTCACAAACCAGGAAGACGTTTGGAAAGATGCGATGACAACTTCCGATGTTGTTTCCGACACTGGGTTTGCTGAAATGAAGACTGCATACATATGTGCTGTTTGAAATGATCCTGAATTTGGCACCATCTCTTCTAATCACATGTACCCAGTGCACTCGGAGTTGTGTGTCAGTGGGGAAATGATGCAAAATGAGGTATGGTTGTAATTGCTGATTAGCTGAACATAACGGAACCCTACAATGACATGGAGATGAAAAAAAAAAGGGGGCCTGGGAAGTTGTAATCACATCTTTCCAAATGCTTCCTGGTTTGTGATGTAAGCTTGAATAGAGTCTATTGAGGAGGTAACACAGAAGAGAAAATTATTTTGGGGCCCATGCGCCACTGAACACAGGTCACTGAAAACAATATGACGTCATCTTGGGTTCACCTTCAAGATTTTATTATACCTCCAGGAGATAGCCGTTTCCTGTTTTAGAACTCAGTACAACTTCCTGTCTTTGTGTACTTTACTTCTCAACTTTTTTTCCTCAAACTGCTACTTAACAGATGTAAAACTATGATAAATATTGACCACACATACTGCCCCACTAAACCAAATTCTAATTGAAAAACAAACAAACAATGAAATCTCCCATCTGCACTTTAAAGTTACTTCATCATATTCGACATGAAAACGGCTGCTCTTGCTATGAAGCATTTAAAGCTCCCCGTAAAAAACAATTTCTCAAAAACAGCAGGAGAGAAAAAAGGATTTGGTCGTGTAAAAATGACTACCTGTCAGCACGGCCGCCTCCTCCTCCGTCTTGTTAAAGCGGTGCTATTTCCAGATGTTGTTTTTTTACAGGCTTGTTAAAACACAACAGCGGATACAGAGTTAGCATTTTAGCATGCTACATCCACAGCCCAGCCCTAGCATCACCTTGACTCACCCTGGTTAACTCGTCAGCATTTCTGTACTTTTGTGTAACAGTCCTGGGTATCAACAGCTCTTTACTTGACCTTTTACGACACCAAAACCTTTTTATTTATTCACCAGCATAGTAAAACTAAACTAGGCTAAGCTAAAAACTTAATGAGGTATTTTAGCTAACTTGTTAGCTTTCTGTGCTTTTTCCCCTTTATATCACTTTCTCAATAATAACAACAGTATTTATGAATAGTGTGGAGTAACTAATGATTACATGGTTATATAACGGTGCACTGATTGACCAGTTGTTTTTGTTATGCAATGTTTTATTTCTTTAAAGAGGGGGTATTGTGCAAAACTGTTGGCCCTCATGAAATGCATGCCTGAAGGGTTTTTACATGTCATCCATTCATGTTTGCGTAATTTAGTGACCTCTACCCTATTCGAACAATTTTGCATAAATATACAAAAACGCAGGGATGAACTGGGACCAAAAAACAGTCCTGTACTTTTCCCCCACAAATAGGCCTACCATGGGGGGAGGGGGTATTTTGATAATTTAAATAATGAATAATGAATAATTTCAATAAATCAGTAATGAAATAATTAAAGAAAACACACAAAGATTAACTACATCTGATTGTTTATTAACAAAAACACCTAAATCACCTCATGTCTAAGTGACTTTAACCTTTTCCCATCCACCTTCTGATTGACACTGTTGACATGTGTTGAAACCAGCGAGTAACCCACTCTAATTTGTCACCTTTTAGGCCTAAGCAATATCTGCTCAAGTCCCGGGGTGTAAGAATGGCCGCCCATTCAAGTCAATGGGCCGAGCTCAATGGCGCATGACTCCAGATTAGCCTTTAGCCTGGCTATGTACTTCCGGTGGCTACGGGGCGATTGAGCATGTGCAGTAGTGCTCTTTTCTCCTGTGGGCACACGCCAATGCACACGGGCGCACACACAGAGCGTGGTCTCATGTATCACGTGATCGCTTTGTCCAATCAGAGCAAGAGGAGCTAGAGAGGAGCTAGAGCAGAGCCGGAAATAACGATTATAAAGTGCTTTTTAAGACAACTGAAGGATTTTGAGCTGAGAAAAAGTTTATGATCTAATAATAGGTAAAAATCGCTACAAAATCTGACATTTTTGAAAATTGTAGGTGCCCTGTCAGCTGAACACGAGCAGTTGGTGATTACATTGCACTCTATGAGAAAAATCCTGTCCCAGCCCAGGGAATTTTTTCTGCTGCAGTACCAGTGAGTGACCACTATGTCAACTGGAGGCAGCTACAAGTAGCAATACCCTATCCAGTTATTTTAATAGTTCCGTGTATATGCTTGAAAAATGGGCAAATTATTGTATTAGCGCCTCTGCTGTTAGTTCTGGACTTTTCCAGAAACCACAGATTGTCAGTCCACCCCTTGAAAAGCATGATTCAAAAAAATACACTTCAGCTTGACAAACCTAATGTGCAGTAGTTTCATTAGCGGATTTCCTGCTGATCGTGTTGTGATAGTACTCTGAAAGGGGAGTGATTTAGAGCTGAGAGCACCAGAAGGCTTATAAAACATGATAATATGTTTTCAGCAATTACATAGCATTTCCAAAACAATAAAATGTAACATGGTGACGTAAATATGTTATGAGTTTGCAGTAAATACCCCATTAGAAGTACAACACCCCCTCTTTAAAGCTGCACTGTGTAACTTTTCTAATGGAGGGTGTGCACTTGCTTGTCTCCATTGCCTGAAATGTTCCACAGAATGGCATTAAACCTATTTGTTTCCATAGAGACACGTGACTCACAGTATGAGTGCATGTTTTTCAAGGTATTTTTTTCTGCTATAAAAACACCTCTAATTGAATAAACGCAAGACACACACATTTAATGTCATACTGCGGAATATTCCAGGAAACGCATTAACATCTCCATGGAGACAAGCTGCGGGCGGATCAGGATATACGTAGCATCGTGTATGAAAAAGAATGGGTCAGTCAGTTCACCTTTATATAACCATTTTATCATTGTTAGAATCATGCTGTATGTTAGATGTGTCTAAGATTATGTAACAGTTTTTAGCCCTGTGCTGTGTAGCCTGTATAATTCCAGTTGAATCAATCTGACTTTGCAATCTCACGGCCTGCCTTCATTCAAGTAATACAGAACGTCTGCTGCAATCAACTAAATATTCTGTCTCTTTATGGAAAAAAAACAAAAAACAAAAAAAAAAACTGCTCCGTTATAGTTTAAACCTCCACAAACATATTCAGATTGCAATGGATTTGGATTGGCATGTATTTGCCTTTTGAATTTCAATGTTCACTCAAATATGAATGCAGATGTGCTCCAGATGTAGAGATATTTAGTTGCCTAGTTCTTCCTTTTTGACTTCGGCCTTAAATTTGAGGGAATAAACAGTCATTTGTGTAGCGTACAAGCGGACTGTGAATGAAGAGCCAAAAATAACCGTTCGCATTTTTGTATAATTCAGTTCTTCCGAATGTGCCGTGCCGTCTCTCAATTGGTCTCTTACAAATTTCACTTATACTGTGGAACATGATGCCATTCTCTTTGATTATTTTATTATGAGCTGAACGTGAATTTTCATACTAAAACTATCTTTAGAATATTCTCAGCAGTACCTCGCCAGTTATTTGACAGGTTTTACTCCCTCCTGTCACAACCACCCACACATCCTCTGTCTGAAAAGGTAATGGACAACCTCCCTGTCAAAGCCTGATCTCGTCAGATCTCAGAAGTTGAGCAGGGCAGGGCCTGGTTACACTGCAAAAATGTGTAAAATGATGTGCCAATGGAACACGTGTCCTTAAAATATGAATATATATCTTAAGAGAAGAAAAACAGCTCTTTTCATTTAAAATAAGAAACAAAATTTTATGTTGCTTGAATTAAAAAAAACACTTATTCCACTCATAGAACATTTTACTCTTCAAGTTGAATCTACTCAAATAAAGTAAGATGTTCTTAATTTAGGTCATTTTAACTTACTTAGATATAACTTTTTGCAGTGTAGTATTTGAAAGGGAGACTGCTGGGAATACCAGGTGCCACAGTGAGGCGCCAGTGCCAAAAATGGTTGTTGTGTTCTTAGGCAACACACTTCATCCACATTGCCTAGTATGAAAGTGGTGTTAGTGTTGGTTGGAGGTGCAGATTGGCAGCCTCACTACTGTCTATCTACCCCAGGACAACTGTGGCTACAATAGTATTTTACCTAGTGTAGAGTGAATGAATAATGCACCAAATTGTAATGCAACTTTGAGCGTCTTGAAAAGCACTACACAAGAATAATGCATTATTATTAATGTCTCGCCTGTGCCTTCAGATGTGATATTGAACCAACTACCCCTCGGTTCCTGGGTGATCGCTCACTTTGCCACTGTCGTCGCAAGATTAAATATTTAATGTAGACTTATTGGTGGCGTTCAGATTCTGGCATGTTGTGATTTTTATTCTTCCAGATAGAGGGCAAGAGCCAATTTTCCCTTCTTAACTGGCATTTTCACAAGGAATACAAAAAGGAAAATCTATAAACCGGATAATTTCTGTTACTGAAATTAACTGAAAATTACAAATAATTATTTTACTCACCCCCAACTATGTTAAATATAGGATAGTGGGCAAGTCAGAGTTGTACAGCAGAACTTACCTTTTAACTCATAACCCAAAGGTTTTGATCTGGTTTATATACTGTATCTCTAAATACTGGAGCAATTTATGAGAAATAAAAACTGGCAAAAAGTTCAGTGTCTTCTCTGTCAACCATCAAAGTAAAGTATTTTTTCACAATGCCTTTATTTGACCCCCAAAACATCATGATTATTGCCAACTAAAAGCACTTATAAGATCAATATGGCAGGTTTGTGTAGGCAACCCTTGATAAATAAAAATAAAGTTCAGTATTTACAGAAAAAAACATAAATGTGGCTGTTAGCTGCGGGTGTTTCAATCAGTGGGAGCAGGTAGTGGGTGCTCTTGGAAAAAGGATCAAAACTATAAACAGAACAGAATCCAGGCACACATTTACAGAGATCCATTTGGATATTTATTTCAAAAACAGCGAGTCTCCTATAGATTTATATCGGATCCTGCCCTCTACCTGAAATTATGACATAATGGAATTCTAGAACATGGATCTTATCTATTGATTGATATTTCCAAATGCTACTTATCTCCTTAGATCCCTTTCTTTCTTCTGTCCCCCTCTCTTCCTGCTCTCGTGTTCCTCTCCTTCTGAGAGGCATTAACACCTTTTCCCTGTGGAGATGAAAGAGTACACCAGCGGGGCACAATCCGCCGTTCCCTTAACTGAACACAGGGGGGGCCGCAGCATGGAACCAGCTGTTACAGGCTCACCTATAAAATCTACAAAGAAGTATGGCCGGCAGCCTCCCAGCCACAGCCAATTACCCGGGCCTGTTAGCCATATACACGCTAGTAAACTACACAGGGTGACGCTGTTTACTGGCATGTATCGGTAGGAGAGGAGTTGGTGTAAGCTTTTTCAAAAACTGTATTCAGCTTTTTAGAGTTTAATCTTTATTTCTGTGTTGCAGCGTTCTTGTCTGCGGGGCCGATCGGGCACAAGAGCAAAGGTAATTGGAGTAAGCATATTTTGAATGGATATATAGAGCTCCCACGCATCCATGAGACTAAATCTGACAGGGGCGCCATGTTGACAGTACTGGATTATGGGTAATGAATGGCACCAAGTCTGCTTTTGTTTTTGTTTTGTTTTTGTCATTGGATGAGATAGACAATGGCATATCTTATCAGATTCATTATTTTAGTAGTAAGTATAAATTTTGCCTTAATTCTGCAGTATCTGGGCATCTGGTTTACTTTTCACTTTCTTATATCATCAAAAAAGGTCCTTGGAGATGTGTGTGAAAAACAGACTTTATTATAAGGCTTTGTACATCTAATGTTTACTGATACTGATAGTTTAAATTATGTTAAATAGCAAAAACAATGTGCTCTGACTAATGTGCAGATGTTGTTGTTGCATAACAATTAAATCACTCACGTCAATGTAATAAACACACAAAAATCATTTATTTGACTTTAGTTTGAGATTTATTTTTTACAATCCATATTTCTGAGCTGTCAATTGTGATTAAACACATTAACAGAGTTTAGCAGAAAGTATTTGGGATGTTTCTCTTTAATCTACTCGCTCTCTTCCTTATAGAACTTTTTCACAACGGCCGGAAGTGCCTCGATTTATGGTAAATGTCACATACGTTAATGCTTTTCTATGGCAAAATATCTGTGGAAATGTCTCACGTATTTTCCACTAGCTTCATAAATCTGCCCCATCATCAAATCTTCATCCAACAAGGTCAACAAAGGATAAATATGAAGAATTTATCCACAACTATCAAGGTAAGAAAGACGAAATGTAAAGGCGAACGACGACGCGTTAGTGAACTACTCCAGAGCAAAACTAACATTATGGTCATGAATAAAACATAAGCAACTTGTTAAAACAGACTGATTGTACAATTATAATTAAAAATTTATTTCACAGACAGAGAGATTTGTGCAGTTTAAATGCTAGACATGTAATCTGTGAACATCTGTAGCATTAAAACTGTACAAATCTTTCTGTCTATGCTAATATCTACATCATGAAATTGATTTTAAATTTTAATTGTAAAATCAGTCTGAGTTCATAAGTTACTTATGTTTCATTCATGACCATAATGTTAGTTTTGCTCAGGAGTAGTTCACTAATGTGTCGTCGTTCGCCTTTACGTTTTCGTCTTTCTTACCTTGATACTGGATAAATTCTTCATGGACAGAATATGTAATTTGTGGACCTTGCTGGATAAAGATTTGGTGATGGGGCAGATTTATGAAGCTGGTGGAAAATACGTGAGACATTTCCACAGATATTTTACCATAGAAAAGCATTAACATAAGTGACATTTACCCTACATCGCGGCACTTCCGGCCGTTGTGAAGAAGGTCTACTAATAGATTAATTAACGCTAATTGACAATACACAAACTGAAGGGTGTCTGAAAGTTGATAATTTGATTTCTTCTTAATTACCAGAAAGAAACTGACATAAAAAAACTGTTTAATGTTCCATAGTAAACTTCCAAAGGACTTATGTTATGACACTATTTGTATTCAGTATTTGTCCTTGTTTGCAGCAGGTCAGAGCATTAAAGAGATGGCAGAGACAGCAGCCAATCACAGGAGGCTGATCCGAAACCGCCGTAACATCAGCTGGTACAACCAACACTCGGACTTCTGGGCCTGGTACAAGTACTTCACCGACAATGGCAACCAAGAGGCGGTGAGTTCTAATTTATGTATCATTGTACTGTACTAGATGAATGGGCAGGAAACAGACAGTAAAATATTAGATATGTGTTTGGACATGTACTCACTTTTAGATCAGCAATGATATAAATTATGGCTCTTCCACAGTGTATCTTTGGTTTGGTTCGTTCTGTGAAGTAAAGTAAAAACTGACGAAGCTTCAATTTGTATAAGAAATTTAAAAAAATTACATCAACATATTATTGTAAATAAGTTTTGCAGAAGTGTGGTTTAGTGTTGCTGTCACGATATTCAAATTTGACACTATTTCAGTACTAAGGAAGCAACTCAGTACTCAACATCGATTCTGATACCACAGTGATAATAAAAAACACTCTTTCTTTAGACAATAGAATATGATTTTTACTTTAAATCACAATACTTTCTTTTCTTTTGGTCTAATACAAGTGATCCAGGTCGGTTCCATAGTGGTCCATGGCCAGATACTAATCTGTGTGCTCTTATACTTGTTCTGAAACAGCTCAAGATCATTCTAAAACTACTCAGAAAAGCTTCATTTCTGTCCTGTGAATGTGACTTATTAAGTATCAATACCTGCTCAAATGTGTATCTAGTTTCTCTAGTTTTTAGTATGAATTAGTATCTGATTTTTAATACTAACTCTAGTAGATTTGCATGTAAATCTAGTGAATGTTAGCATGTCATAGTTGGTTAAAACTTCTCCACAACTTCATCACAACTTTTCCTTCAGAATTCTTTACGGTTTCACACATTTCCTTTTATAATCCTAAGTGCCATGGGATATATAACACACAATTGCTAGTAATTAATATTTTCTTTAAGATCGGGCAGTGTATCAGATGACAAGTAAGGCATATAATTAAGAGCTATTGTATTTTAATTATGTCATTGTAGATGAAGAGCCCAGTTTTTCTGCTACTAATTTATTGAATTGGTTGAGTTTTAAAAGTTTTGCTACAACTGCACTTGCTGTATAGGTACAATAAGGTCAGGCATGGTATGGTAAAAGTTGCTACTGATAGGCTCACCTTTTTTTGTTTAATCAGGCACATTGTTGCTAGAATCATAAAAAAAAACAACTTTCTGACAGTATCACAGACACTTGATTCTCTGTCATGCAAGCAGGTATCAGACCTTCCACCATTAACATGTATGGAAAGTAAGGTTGCCTAAAGTAGACAGAAATGAACCTTTCCTGTATCAAAACAAGTATAAGACCAGTAGACTAGTATAACAACCTGGCACAATGCATCTCTCCTGGTTAGTTAAGGTTAGTGTACACTGTGTACTGTCCCTGTCTCATTAAATAAACTATAAACTATACACCCATTGACTACTTTTTTTTGTAATCCACCTCATAAGAGAGAAAAAAAAAGCATAGGATATGTAGAAAACATTTCTCATGTTATTGAAATATCCCAAAATTGAAAATCATTACAAAGCTTTACAACAAAATATCTGTCTTTCAAGTCCCACAGTATTTACTATTTACTGAAATTACTTTTAAAACTTTATTGTTATTGCTATAATTCAAGTTCGGCAGGCCGGATTAAAAAGATTAAAGGGGCTTCATATGGCCACCGAGCCGTAGTTTGCCCTCCCCTGGTCTGTTCCTTAGAACATAGGTCATCGATCTAAGGCCCTCCACGCCTCATTGACCGGCCCCCCAGCCGGTCTGCCCCCACCACTTGAACTGGCCCTATGAGGCAATCCTCATAAGGTGTCATGGCCTATTCTTTAAAATTACTTTTTGGCAAATAATAACATATCTACATCTTGTATGTTGTTGATTTTCAATAAAAAATTATATGTATATGAAGTATTTATATAATTATATGATGTATTTACATTTGCCACTGAATTTTCATCACCTGACAAGCTCAAGATCAAACAGTGACAGTCAATGCACACACAGAGTTCTGTAATGCAGTTAAAGACCAGTGGTTGACCGATAATTTTTCTTTCAGTGTAAGCAGCGTGCAGTTTGTCTGATATGTAAAAAAAAAAGTGTGGAGGTTTTTCAAAGGTTTGGAGGTTTACAATTCTGTTATATAGCCTAACCGACCCTGGCCTCCCATCACAGTCAGGAGCGCTAATGTGGCCCCCAGAGAAAAAAGTTTGGCGATCCCAGCCTTAGAATCACAACACTAATGGAAAGTAAAGACATTAAGGACCATTCATTTTAGCACTTCCATCAGTCCCTCATATAAATTCCTCCATAAATTTTGGATGCTCTTCTTCAGGTTCAGGAGCTGGACCGCATCTACCTGGCCTACCTGCAGAACAAGAACCGCGCTGAGGGTCGCCGCTCCTACAAGGCCTACTTGCGCCACCTGGGAGAGATCTACAAGTCCTGTGCTGACTCCGATGACCCCAACTGCGTGTCCGCCTACACCGCCAGACCCAAAGCCAAACCCGAGCCCCCCAAGCTCCCTAAGGCTGCCCCCATCAGGACCTGCGACCCCACCAAGGACCCCTACTGCCTCTACATGGCTCTGGTGCAGGGGAAGAGCCCGTACATGCCCTTGGTGATGCCCATCGCCACCGCAGCACCCGTGCCCGTCAAAGCACCCGTCAAAGCACCCGCCTCCATGTATATGCGGGCAGCCCCATCCAAGGACCCTGAGTCTGGATACTACTACTACGCCCCCTCTGCAGTGCCTTTCCTCTCCAAGGTAAGACGATGGATATAAAAGAGTGAATGGTGAAACAGTTTGAATGCTTTAGGTGATTCATTTTATTTTGAATATTTTAAAGAACATAAATGTAACCTTGCATGTAGAGTATATACTATATGTTGAATTATTAATAGCCATCTAATCTGTATCTCTAGACCTGCTCAAATCAATTATTGCTTTTGCCATGTTGCTTTATTTTTTAATTACAAAAAACATTGTAGATGATGGCCAAGTTGCTGTCGTTGTCAATTGGTGTTTTGGTTCTCAAGCAAATGTTCATATCAAGAAGCAAAAAGTCCAGTGTGAGTCGGGTTGCTAGTTTAAATGCCAGTTGGTTTAAACCTTAAACGCCAAGCTTTCATCATGAAGCATGACCTGTCCATATGCAGATGTTGAGGAAAACTACATTGACTTTATGTGATTAACTGAGATTCAGGAGCTGGACCATGCCTCAACTAGCCTGATTCATCAGCCGGTTTCACTTTGTTTTACTTCGTACAAACCATCTGACCTCGCAGTGTTAGAATTTGTTCGCTCGACAGTAGGCGGGTACTTTTTTCATTTAACCAGTTGCTGCTGTTTGGTAGTCACTTATGTAATGCGCCGCTAACGGGGCTAACTGGTATATTAAGATTTTCCCAAATCCCGTAGGAAGAAGGACAATAAAGTTTTTCCCCTTGATGAAATTCACCAAACATTCTCTTTGTTCCGGCTTTAAATCCTCGATCTCAGGAATCATTGACAACACTGAATATATCTTCGCTGATTGGCTGGTGCTCGAACTTGCAAATCTGTGTTTTTTGCGAACCGTCTATTGTATTTTGCTTCCTGATCTAGGTGGCACCAGCCTGGCTACACCTCAACCACCTCTCCAGCCAACCACAGCTTATCTCAAGCACGCCTTCAATTACCCAGAAGCCCTATATATACGGCCTATCATGACAACACCGTCCATGTTAGCTCTCTCGATCGCGTCCCTTCCACCCCGTGTCTCTTGTCCATCCTTCAGCCTGAAGACATAATTTCCAAGGAGGAGGGGTTCCGAATCAGCTGGGTGATCATTTTAGATTGGAGACGGAGCCCCCACCCTGAGTCTCTCACCAACCATCATATCCACAGCCAATAAATATCTTTATTGTATTCCATTGTTGTGGCATGGTACCTGAGTGTTGAAGAGAATGGGCATGAGGCTGGAGTCCTAATGCAGGAGGAGTTTATTTACATGAGTACAGTATCCAGCACCTGGAGATATGAACCCTCAGTACACTCATAGTGCTGCCCATTCCAGTCTCTCTATCTATCTGCTTCCATTGAAGGGAGTATAAAGTAGGCCAAGATAACAAGGACTGAGCTGGCAGCGAGTGCCCTCTGTACAGCACAGAAATGGAATTTCTCCAACACTATTATTTGTGTCTTCAATATGCATTGGTCCTGTTATGTCATCTTGTCTTCGTGGAGATGGGTATACTTTATGCTATACAGTGAAATGCTATACAGGTCTTCAGGTCCTTTTTACCAAGCGCACCTCGATAAAAAGGACTAATTTTGTCACTTCATGTTACATAATCAGAAAAAAATGACTTTAGAATATAAATGATATGCAACAGCCATTGGAACAATTCCCTTTTTATTCCATGTGATTTTCCAGTACTTTACACTTACCAGTCTTTAGTATCTATGTAAATGTATGTATGTATTCTGTTCCTCTCCAGGAGCAGAAGGCAGAGCTGCTGAGGATCTGTTCTTCTGAGGATGTGGAGTGCCTGCAGTACCACCTGAGAGCAGCTTATGGCTACACCCCTGCCGCCGGCTCCCTGCCCTCCTACGCTCACCTCGGCTGTGACCCCAAGAAGGACCCCAGCTGCAAGGCCAAGCTGGTGCAGAAGGCCCCCTCTGGACTGTACCTGCAATACCCCAACTGTGATCCACTGAGGGACCCCTACTGCGCATACGCCGCCTCACTCACGGTAATGCCTCACATCTATAAGGATACATATGATAATCAGTATGAAAAGTACATGAGCTGGAGCCGAGCAGGCAGATTTTTATTGAAGACGTGAATTTTAATTTTAACCATTTGCTGTAGGGCCTCAACTACAATTATTTTGCTATAATATTAATCTGTCCTTCACATTTTTTTTTTAGGTATCTGATCAATCAAAATTGCTTTGTGAATATGATGTTTAGTGTTGTCACGATACTAAAATTTCAAACTTGATTTCCATACTAAGGAATAGATTCGATACCCAATACTGATTCTGATAAGTCAATGGCAATTTATTTATTTAGAAAACAAAATGTGATTTTGAACACTGGCACTGATTAAAAGTCTTTTTTTTTTTTTTTTTTTTACCAGTAAAAGAGCTCTGGAATGACACATATTTAAAGAAACTGGTCAGTATAAAAGATGATGGTCCTCAAAATGGCTTCCTGAAATGATATAATCTGGTGTTTTGTGAACTCACTGTCCTTCTAAACACAAAGGAAGTCTCATTATGTAGTTAGAGCATACTGGGACAGACCCCTGCCTGTGAACATGAGCGCAAATGATGAATAAATGATTTGTCTGCATCCTGTACTTTACATACTGTTCCTCACTTTATTTTAATGTACATCCAAGAATAGGGATGTCCAAATTTCTTTCATTTTTTTTGTACCATGCCGCTGCAACATGACAGTTTCAGTAAATAAACAGCAGCACTGATTATGGATTGCCATTAAGGGTAAATATTTGTCAGTACAATATTGACAAATTTGGTATAATTTTTTTTTGCTCGATTATCCCTATGACAATGTTAAGACAATATTCTGGATGAAGTTGAAGTATTGCTCAAAACAAAACCAAAAAAATCTGAAAATTATTCAGAAAACTGCAGGAATATCACTTTATACAATGAAATAGTACTCTGTAATTTTGTAATTCATTTTATTTTTGTAGCCATTTTGCGATTGTATCTATGTTTTATATACCTTATATATATATATATATTTATTTATATATATATATGTATCTATTAATATATATATATATATATATATGTATATATATTTAATAGTATAGACATTTTCTTACATAAACAAACACTATTTACACAAGTGGGCAGTACTCAGCTACATTTCCTGTTACATTTTACTTACTGTAACTTTAATTTTATTTTATTTAAGTAACAGTACTCTTACTTGAGTAAAAATTTTGGTTACTCTTCGCACTGTGAGTAAGTCTACAAGTGAAAGAAGCTTTACACTGATTTGAGCATAAATCATTTTTGCACCCTTCAGATACGATTTAGTTTGTCTCATTTTTGTGTCAGTCCTTTAAAAATACCATATTTTGTGCATTATTTAATATTTTGTCCTATCAATTACTTTATCTTTAATTCATGTCCTGGCAGTTACACTTTCACTACTACTACTCCACTACTACTACACTACTACTCTTACTTGGGTAGTAGTTTTTGTACTTTCTTGGGTATTTTCTACTTTGCACTTCTACTCAAGTAATATTATTTTGAAGTAATGTTACTCTTACTTGGGTACAATTTTTGGCTAGTCTACTCACTTCTGACTATTTACAATTTGTTTCTCTTTTTAGGCTGCCCGTGCCCCCAACCCCCCCGCCCCCGCCGGTCCTGGCTCCTGTAACCCCCTGTACGAAGAAAACTGCAACCCTCTGACCGCCACCCGCTTTGCCTCTCCGCCTGACTCCTACAAGCACGCCGAGAGTGACGAGGCCGCCGCCATCCGCGCTGCCCCGCCCTCCGCCCCCGCCCACGAGCAGCAGTACGACCCCTACGCCATGTACCGGGATCCGTACGCCAACCGCAACCACATCACCGACCCGTACGCCATGTACCGCCAGCCCGCCACGCCCGCCCCCCACCAGGCCTCTCCCGACCCGTACGCCATGATCCGCCGCCTCATGGCCCAGGCCCAGCTCAACGACCCCTACGCCCCCCGCATGGAAGGCCCCGCCCCCTCCTCCAACCCCAACGACCCCTTCTCTGTGATTCGCGAAGCTGCGGCGGCCATGCAGCGCCAACGGCAACACCAGCGCCAGCCAGCTCCGCAGTTCCCTTTCGCCAACCACGAGGAGCCACAGCAAGCTCAGCGCCACCCACTGGGACCCCCCGGTAAGACGAAGGAAGGGTACGATTGTTACATGGGGTACGACCCGGAGTGCATCCCACTGAAGCCAAACCAGCCGCGATTTGGAGGAGCAAGACACGGGTACCCCACTGAACCAAAGGCGGTCGATGAAAACCAGCAAAGGTACCTGGTGCCCGCCAATCCTGACTGCGATCCAGAATACGACCAGGACTGCCGTCTTCGCCGTTACGAGCCGGAGCAGGCCGAACCGCAACAGGAGCATCACGAGGAGGAACCACACCACGATATTCCCGAAAGAGAGCCACACCCTGAACCCCATCACCCCGAGCAACCTGACCAGGAGCAGTACGAAACGGAGCCATACCAGAGCGGCCAGGACGAACCGCACTCGCCGTACCCCGCAATGCCCCAGAACATGCCCACACTGCAAGACATTCTGCGTCGCTACGGAGACCAGTACCGCGAGCAGGAGGAGCACAGGGCTTACCCAGACGACTACCGCAAGAAGTAAACCAAAAGAAGTGGTAACGCTTTATAGTAGCTTCATCTTAGTTAGCCTGAAGAAAGCATGAAGAAAGACTTAATTCATAATGAACAAATGGTTTATTAAGAATGATTCAAACTTAGTATTTAATTAATCTCAAACTCTTCACTCTTATTCCTTGATTAAGTAATTACTAAGCCTTAATTATTCTTAAAAGGCACTGTACCTGATTTCAAAATGTGAAAAATGTGAAAATTCCAAACATCCTAATCAATCGAGGCGAGTTTATAAGATCAGGTACAGATCTTTTTATAAACAATTTGTTCATATGAATTAAGTCTTTGTTCATGTTTTATTAAGGCTAATTAAGCTTTTGTTATTATAATGTGGTACCAAGTAAAGAAATTTAAAAAAACATGCTGATATCTCGTAAGCATGCTTAAGGACATGTACACAGAGTTCAAACCTGGCGCATTTGGGACACGATGGACCCTGACAGAGATTCTAGAGTGATGTTTATTGTCCTCTGACGCACTCATAAGAAGATGGTGCATTCTGGCTATGTTTTCATGACTTTCTCTAGCTGCTTTAGTAGAATTTCATTTGACACGTGCTTTAGCTTTTTCCATTTCTTTTTGAAGCGACTTGAATTGGCAATGACTCCTCCCACGCTGCTTTGCTCCTGACGCTTTTGCATTTCAATCCTGGAGTGTGTTGCTTTATGTCACGTGACGGTTTATGTAAAGATGTTTTTTTCATTTTTGGATGTTCTAATAAAAGTCTCAAAAAGTGGTATTGCATTTGATTTCATATTATTTATTACAGTATAAAAGTAGTCTATGTTATAATTATTTTAATTAACTTCAGATTTATAACCAAAAGAGGACATTTATTTATAGGTCCTATATTACACAAAATGTATTCATGTGAGTCATGGGATAATGTTGTTACCTCATCAAAAACAGTTGTGTTTTGTTTCATTCACACGAGTAATTCTGGATTATTAGTCGGTTCCACCTTGTGATGTTATAGTGATAGTGGTAGTTTTCAAGTTAATGGCTACCTTTAACCTTTAGTCCAATAGAGATGCCCTGGTAATATCAGGGCTGAAATTATCCAAATTATTTTAGTGAAGGTGTAAGGAGTGATCAATACAGTGATCAATACAATGAGTTTTTCAAGGTTTGGCACATTCATTAAAGGTTTGTTTCACCATGCTGTATGATGACATTGAGTTTATAGAGGTATAACAACTTGAATTTCATCAGTTTGCAGTGAAACGTTCTGCTTATGAACATTTGGGGCAATTCAGTGGGAGACTTGAGAGCCAATGAAAATTAACCTGGCTCAGACCAAATTGATACCTGTACCACTCAGAATTCAATTCTATTATCAGTCTGGAATGGCTCTCACAGAAAATGATCAGAAAACGTGGAAGGTCATAAACTATTTAAGTCTGATTGGTTGAAATGTAGCAACAGCAGAACAAGATGAAAAATGTAATTTCATTTGGGCACTTTGCCTTTAGCTTCCACACAAACCTTAATGCTGCTCTGTGATTGGTCGGTCACCTGCCTTCTGTCTGGCTCTATCGCACCAGTGGGCACATCCCAAGATGGATTTTTGGGAGTGTGTGATCTCACAAATATTGTAAAAATCCATCTTACTGTGCAAAAATAAACAAAAATAGCTCTGAGGACCGCATTTGGCCCCCAGGCCAGAGACTGAACATTTCTTTCCGACATGCACAATGACAAGGTGCAGTCTTCAAATCATCATCTTCAATTTCTGTGCTTTCATTTAGATCTTGACACAGCAATGTAGGTGTAATAATTAACGTGAAGGTGTTAATTAGAACCTTATGGATTTTTGAAGTAGCCCGTCTGTTGTTTAGTGCCTTCGATTGTCTTTTTCCATTCGTGAACAGTGAACATTCAGCACACATCTCCAGTAATACCATGTTGTAGCTTCAATAAGCCTTCACAGCTGGAGATCTTCTCTCACATGTATGAAAGGGAAGAAAAAACTCTCGAGCGCTGGTAGTGAAAAAGTACACAAATACACATGGATACAAAAGAATATAGGATGAGACACCCACAGACACTAACTATAAAAGCTGTGTAACGTTATTGTAGAAAATAGCCTGTAGATGTGTAACAGACACAATGCAATTTGTTTGGGACAGCATTTTACAGCAAAGTGGTTTTGGCAGCTGATGAGACAACAAAAGCATTAGCCTAGCGGTGGCTAACTTTTCTGGTGGAAGATCTGCATTGTCTCCATTAAGATGTTATTGCTTAGCCTCGCATGTTTCCCGGTTTAGCATAAGGCCTACTTCTCACCAATGGAGCTGTGCTTTGTTTTATTCACACATTTAACACACAAATCCTGCATATTTAGGCTTCAAACAGAAAACACTCTGTCCCACCTAGTGATGTCATGTGATGATGCATGTTACTGTGACTACCATCCACTGTATAAAGCACTCGCACTCACCCATAGCACTCGACTCCAGTCCGATTTGAGCAGTTATAGGAGCGAATTTGGAGCCAAGCTCCATATTAGGACTAGGAATTTATTAATGGGTCAAATAAAAAATTGTAAATGGTAAAATAAAAACACCAGGATCACGTAGAGCAGGTTAACACAAACATTTTAACACCAAATCTTTCTGGCAGGTTGATATTGCATAGACAGCCATTTTTCTCTCAGACAGCCCCAGGGCAGCTGGAGCTGCTGATCCAAGACTTAGCAGATCTGTGACTATATCTCTGCAACCAAGTCATTTATGAGCTCCAAAATAGTGTATTGTTGGTAAAACAAAAACAAAAAAAAGGCTAGATTTTGTACTTGAATGGCTTTAGATATGTGAGCTGGAAGCTAACCTTAAGCAGCAAGATGGATTCTTGCAATTTCTGTGAGTTCAAAAACTAACGAGAATCCATCTGGAGGCACTGCCGCTGTAGTTGAAATTAGACCAGAGCAGTGGTCGGCCCAGTGTCAGGGCTTCTATGCAGGGAGAGGAGTTTCAGACAACATGACAACAGCCCCCAGCACCAGTCCCACACGGAGTAAAACAAATATGGTGGTGCCCGGGGATGGTGATGGTGCCTTATAATGGCTAAATTTGTTGATCAACATCTTCTCTCTCTTTTTACCTGGCAGTTGGATACATTATTTTGAAAGGTTTGCTATGATTGACTAAAAAGAAACTGGTGGGTGGGCACTTTGGGGTGGTTCTCTCAGTGAACTTGAGGCATTCTGCTGCAAGTCCCTTTTTTAAAACACTTTCATGATGGAGAATGTGTAGAACTTAATTTAGAGTGATGCACTTCATTCTGTCGCGTGCCAGGTTAGCTGAAAACGCCTCCATGAACACTTCCTGTGTAGAACGCGGCGGCTAGCAGGTTAATTATGTCCATTTCTGTACAGTCTAAAATGTGATATTGTGACTGACAGCCGTTTTGACGACATTACAACATGGCTGAAAGCTAACCAACTTAGCCTAGCATAACATATTTATCTTAACTGTCCGCCTGTATCTCCAAACACATTTCTCCTCTTCATTGAAACCAACACTGACACTAATATTACATTTTATTCCAAACGTCCAGAAAATCAAGATATGGCTCTTTGCCCTTTCAATAAAAGTCAGTGAAGTCGCCCGATGCCAGGATTCACAATAAACCCATTTCTTCATCTCATCTCCAGGGGAAGTCACAAGCAATAATCTCACGGCGCTGTTTTTTCCTGGATTGGCCCTGAACTCATCATGTCTTTGTGCCCTCAGCTGAACTATCCAACGCCACGCTGGGCTAGCTTTAGCTTTAGCGTTAGCCAGAAGAACAACAAAACACTAGGAGGCTGGAGTTCATTGATCCGGACAGCAGAATACAACTTCTAAAGATATTAGTGTTTCTACAGTATCTTTTATACAGACATTTTAAAGAAGGGGGATCCGGGGTTAAGAACAGGTTGAGGTATTGAGGATTCTAAAGAAATCCCTCAGAATGTTATTGGATGGTTTTATTGGTTGTTTTGATGTAGGAACACAGAAGGGGGTCAGTAAGCTGCTTTAACGGTGCGGGGAACAAAGAAGAAGGTTTGCTGGTAAAATGCCAGTGCACAGATCTGAAAGTAGATTGTTCATTGATTTCCTGTTTATAGACGCCATTTTGAGGACTCTTCATCATGTAAAAGATAAGATTGAATTGTCATTTTGCCTAACGGTAAAGATTTTAAAGGGCCCACATAATGCTTTTCTGATCTGTTATATTGTTGTCTCCTCATCCAAAACTTACCTAGAGTTGTGTTTTGTTTTATTCACACATGTTTAACACACAAACCCTGCATATTTAGGTCTTCTCTCAAATGGAAAACACTCTGCTCCACCTTGTGATGTCACGTGATAATACAGGAAGAGCCCTGCTGTGTTTTTAAACTCCACCCACCTTCTCTAACTTTTGTTTTGACTGATCTGAAAACATGAGTTGTTAGGATCTAAGAGGATAACCTCAGTTTGTAATTTAGGTTCAAATAACATAAAACAGGATAAAAGTAATTAAGTATTTGTGTAATGAAAATGATGTGTGATTGTGTGGTGTGAATGACACATGAGATGAGACATCGCTTAGACAACTCTGTTTTCTCTCATGCCGCCCCAGGGCAGCTGTAGCTCCTGATCCAGGACTTACCACCTGCCACCAAGTCATGAACTCCAAAACAGTGTATTGTTGGTCAGAAAATAAGTTCTGTTAGACTTTGTACTTGAATGGCTGGACGTGTGATATAAATAAAAAGACTAAAGAGCTGTCTGGAGTCTGTATTCAGACAGAGAAATGTCACTTTAACCTTTGGAGACCTCACATTCCGTGGCTCCAAAAGTCAGGTCTGACTCAGGCTGACAGCTCCAGTCTTAAAATAAGCTGTGAACACAATAGAACAGAACAGTGCTTCAGCTCACATCTCTTTTTCATGTCATACAAGAGTTTAGCGCTGAGCTCAAATGTCTTTGGGTTACTGCTGAGGCTGGATCTGCACATGTGCTCTAAACTTTAAAAGAGACATTTTAAAGGTGCTGTTTCCAGCAGCATCCTCCTAGTGAGGATTGGAATTTTAAAAACTATATAGACCTTTGGAGGATCATGTAATTTTACGGGCGACAGTAGCTCAGTTAGTTGAGCATTTGTCCACTGATCCAAAGGTTGGCAGGTGTGATTCCAGCTCCCCCAGATGAATGCTGTTGTTGTGTTGTTGGGCAAGACATTTAACCCATCTCGCCCCCAGTGTCTGCATACACTGGTGTGTGAATGTGTGTGAATAGGTGAGTGTTTCCATGATGTAAAGTACTTTGAGTGCCTTGAAGGTGGAAAAGTGCTGTATAAAAATGTGACTATTTAATATTAATATAATCACAGGTCACTGTAATATTGACAGTGGGGAATCATGGGGAAATTACACTGACTTATTTTGAGTTGGGCTTAAAATACAAAAGTATAATATGAGTATGTCACACTGAGTAAGACATGTCTTCAGAGAACAGGGCAATGACCGTGTGTCCATGTGTGTTGCTCAAAGGCACCAAACCCTGGCTCTTCACAGTAATATAGAGTATAGTCCAGTGAGGGCCCCTGAGCACAGACGCTGTGTTGTTCTGTTAGAC